TTTTTAACAAACAACGACCATCAAGAAGAAATTTGATGGTCGTTGATGACCTTTACACCATATTAAAAAATCATCCAGATCGGAGGGTGGTTCTTTTTCGTAAACATTTACCCCAAAAATGTTCTACCTATGTTCCTAACATGACACACGAGCTCCATATGCATAATTCCTTACAAGGGGCCTAAACATACTAATCCTCTTCATATCATCGTCTCTCGTGAACCCTAACCTACCTCTACTGTCTCTCCAAGAAATTTTCCTCCGCGATTCAATTGACTCCGTTACAGAAAGGACCAGAGACAGTTGTCTGAGCGTATTCAGCGTCCATCGTAGACTCACGTAACAAGTGTCGAAAGATTAAATGCGTTTATCTTGTCGAAGAAGGGGGCGGGGTTGAAGCAGCGCCATTACCGGCGTCTTTCGTATTAAATTTGAAATGAGGAAAAAATGGCTGAAGGGAGAGAGAGATAGGTATGAAGAAGACAAGCAGAGGAAGGTCCCGATGGAACCGCGGCTTTGTTCTCAGCTATTACTCGCCCCCTGCAACCCCAAAGATATTATATCTCTCCTCGTCAGCCTCCACCCCTACCCCTTCTGTACTTCCTTGCCAGTACGCGAATTCGGAGCCACGGGGGCTGCGGAGCTCATTGTATTTATTTTATTAAACCATTTTCCAGGCTTCCCGCCGTGAAACTTCTCCTCCCGAAGCGAAAGATAATCATCTCCGCGACTCTTGTCCCCGGTAGGTAACGCGGTTTTGTCTTCCGTTAGTGAATTTGTGTTTGCGCGACCGTAATCGACTTCACGGAGCCACGTTTATTTTATTATCGATTCGGAATCCTTCAGTCCTTAGGTACCGAAGCTCCGCAGATCTGTGTAACCCTACGTAATTAAGCTATCCTGTAAGAAACATTCGTAAAAATGACGAATTCAATTAAAAACACGAATGTAATTGAAGGATTTTTATTTAACAACAAAAGTATTTTAGTTTATTATAGTATTGAAATTATATACAGTATTGAATTTCTTAATTAAAACCAGAGACCAGGAATAACAGTTATTTTAAATATTTTTTGGAAAAAAGTCATTGAGTAAAAAGTAATTTTTATTTAAATGGAAACCAGATATTAATAATTTTCGAAGAAATTTTTCAAAATGTGACGTGAATAAAGAATATGGATTTTTAACTATTCTGTTTACGAATAACCATAGGTGACGGAAATTTTGTTTGGTTACGCGGTAATCTACATATATCAATGACGAGAGTTTCATTTTGGTTACTTTCGACTGTCGTCAATTTTTACTAACGTATCTATCAGTGACGCAAATTAAATAATAAAAATTGTATATTTTAAGTTAAAATATAGATACGTTAATAAAAATAAGTTTGAAGTTCTGTGGATATTAATGTACGATATAAGGGATGGTAAAAGTATGAGTTGTTAGTTCTTTACATTTCAAAGGAACCAAATCTAACAAGGGACTGGTACTAATGCGATTGAACTTACATTATAAGGGTTGATAAGTATACATAGTATTTACTCTAACGGTATCTACAATTTTTCAGATGCTCACGATAATATAATTAGTAAGTTATTAACCAAAGTTCATGTGCGTTATGTGGACTTTTAAATGGAAAGAATGTGCTGGCTCGTAAAATAGCAGAAACGCTTCAACTCTATCTTGATTTCGTTTAACTACATACTTCTACTGCTGTGAATTTAGTGTAGCTTGAATAAACATGTAATATTTTGTGTCGGTTGAATACATCTTAATATTCTTTATAATATATTGGGAAAAATGATATGCTTCCATTTAAAAAGAACTCAAGATGACATTGAGTACATTATTCGAAATGTTTGCTATTGTTATACGTTGTCCACTTAAAGCAGATAAGTTTTGGTTAATAAGTTGTTTTATTAGGTTGTCGAAAAGGGCTGAAAAATAGAGGATACAAATTATTAAGGGTATCTGGCTCGATAGTTTTCGAAAAATTACATTGTACTCTAATACTTCAACATAGTCGGATAATATTAATTCTATATGAGCATGAAAGTTAAAGACATAACAAATAAACAATGCTTGTACCCTTTGAACATTCTTCTGGTGTTCAAAGTCATCTGAAGATCACAAACTGCAATGCATTTTGTCATCTGCTAAAATATACAATAGAAAAAATATGCTTTCCTGCAAAAAAATATCGGGGTCTTTCAAAAAACACTGAAAAAGTTACCTTAAAAACATTTAGATTCTTCTACATTTTACAGTATTCCTCTTTCGAAGCCATTGAAACTGTGCTTTAAACATTTCCCATGCCATTAAAAATAAAACGGATGTTTTAGATGACCTTCTTCAGCTGGGACACACTGCATAACAATTATTTTCTCCCTAGTTTCCATACATTCTTCCTTCTCATTAAACTTAATAATTGAGGCCGCTGATAGAAAAAGGGTACGTACTCCAAAACGCTATTTCGAGAAAATCGACTTTGAAGTTTTCATTAGAGTATTACTTAATGAAAAGTAATGCAATTAGAACCAATGTTTTTTTAAAAATGTAGTAACATTTCCTTCAGACGTTTTGAAAACAGAGGTCACGGTTTGAAGATAATATATGTTTTTTGTTTATGAGTTTCAAAAAATCGTTTTATGTGTCCTTTTCCCGTAAACGGGGTAAAATCGTAAAAACGTGCTCTTTTTTATTTATTTATTTAAACAGAATTACTTCTCAAGTTTACAACTTTATTTATGTTGTTGAAATAAAAAATAAGAAATTAAGTAGAAAATCAAACAAAGACTTAATTTTTTAAAGAAGTCTTATTCTTCAAGTTGAAATGTATAATTTTTGTCACGTGTAGCTCCAATGAGTTATGTAAAGATATATTCATGAATTTATACAAATCCCATTTTCAAAACAAATATTGTACGACAACACTACCGCTGAGCGTGTGACTGTGGGACGAATTATTGCAAAACATTGCGGTCATCTTCAAGATCAGCAGTATAATAGCATTTAGATATGTAATATAAACATTCAAGAAGTAATATGTTAAACGACGTAAAACGACTTCTATTTACTATTTTTGTAATAGCTAAGTAAGACTTTTCTTCTTTTGATAAATTCAATATTATTTTCCTTTCAGAAATTGTTGTCTCCTGCGATTTGCGACCCATTTTTGTGCGTTTTTGTTTTTACAACAATACTGGCAACAATTTATGACAAATGAACATCAAACTGAATCGGGGAATATTTGCGGGCATGACAATCGTACAAACACTCGAAATATTTATTTCAAAATTCCATAGAAACATGAAATTTTTATGTGTGCCAATACTTTTGTTCCGCTGAAAACGAGCCATGATATGGTTTTTATTTTGTTTATTTGTTACAGGTCTATTTAACTTTTCTGACTTGTAATATATTTGAACTTCGAACTCCAGACTTACATTTTAAAAGGATTAAACAAGAAACTGCGTTCTTTTAATATTTACTTAACATTATGTATAGAAATATCTCCTGTGCCTATACTTTTGTTCGCCACTGTATATAAACCATAAACATAAGTCTATGTGCCCTTTCCCATCAATGGCCTCAATTACTATTAAAATCAAAAATATCCATTTTTACTATTCTTCAACCTCTATACCCTAAATTCTGTCACGTGATTGGCTCTTCTAGAGGCTTAGCTAAATAATCTAAATTTTTAACGACATAAAAAATTCATGTGCTATGTATTTGATGCAACACAAAACAATCTAATTGGAAGGCGAACCTGTCCTTCGACGAACACCTTGAACGTAAAAAAAGAAAACAGATTTTGGCCTTATTCGCTCAGAGGATCAGGAGAGGATGAACGCGACACTCATTCCCTGTGCGAGCCTAGAAAGCGACAGCACGTTACGCCGTCAGGGTTGAAGATACCAAGCGGAGACGTAGCGGGGCCGCTGGGTATAATAAAGTCTATTTCAGTTGATATTATGTCAAGTTAGCCTCGTTAGCAGAACTCGAGCTTTTTAAAAAACACTCGGCCGCCGTGGTTGCTGTCGGCTCGTTGAACATGTACGCCACGATGAGAGGGCCCACCCCTCTTTGACCAGCTACGAACCCCCAACTCCTCTTCCCCGTACATGCAATTATCCTTCCATATCCCGCGCACGAGAAGCAGGTGTAGTTAAAGCAGCTTAAGTGCCGCCTTCAGCGCCGTTCCTCATCTTACGCTCGTTTGCTTTTGTTTTTCTTGTTTCCTTCACGCGTCACCTTCTACTCCGGCTTTCTACTCACTTCTCGCCACGGTTCGTGGCAGGACGATCAGACCGAGCGGTTTTACCATGTGTGAATGAAATCTGACATACTTTAGCCCCCAGACACAGCTCACCCCCACTGACAGTGCTCAAAAAAAAAAATTGTACGAGTGAAGTCTGACAATACGCAGTCACGTAAAAATTTGATATGAAAACTCTTGTGTATTAAGTTGTGTGTACACTTTGGGTCGAATTCTAGATCGGTGGTTGAAATTTTTGAAAGGGATGACGGCCTGTATGAGGAATTCTAAAAAAATCGATTTGTTAATTTTTGTATCGAAGAAATCCATTTATTATTAATTGTTTCTTAATTATACTTTGAAGTGATGACTTGGTGGTTTGATGACACTCAGAATTGTTCATCTACCTAAAAGCTGTATAGCATTTCAAGTAATTAAATAGTTATGTGCAATAAAGATTGATTTCATTTTGATAGCGTACCACTCACATTTTTCGAATTTGTAATTTCAAAGTGAAAAAAAAAAATGAATAGCAGTAGATAGAGCAATTTATAAGGATTTATCAACGAGACATTAATTTAGTGACTTCTCATGTCTCCGATATTTAATTAAATATCTTTCAATGCACAATGTAATTTTAATTGACTGTGTCGAGAAGGCTGTTAAAAATATCATTTATTCCCGATAAATTCATTGTTCGTATTCATAATCAACTAACAAAAATATTCGATATTTTTAGGTATGGTTCCAAAATCGCAGGGCAAAGTGGCGAAAAACTGAACGTTTGAAAGAAGAACAGAGAAAAAGAGAGGGTGGCGGAGGGGGTGGATCTCTAGAAACGACAGGTCTGGCGCCACCATCGTCTTCATCGGCTGGTCCAAGTCCCACTGGCCACGATCCTGAAGGTACGATTTCTAGACACATAAAATTTCAAAGTTACCTACTGCAGTAGAATTTTAACCCCTTCAAGCGTATGTCCGTGTCTTGTACATGTATTAATCCATTAGAGTTAATTTGTATTCGAAAACCTGTATTTACAGGGTGTTAATCAAAATGTGTGACACTTTCACGCAGTAAATTTTATATGCCAAACGAAGACAAAAATCGCAAATGGCGAAATTGCGTTGCAGGTTCCATTTTCTACTTTATTATAATAATTGCTGAAGATATGGGCAAAATACGCGTGAAATTTTGAGTTATTAGGAATGTTCGTAGTGTTTTTAAGAGCAGAGTTAAAATCCACATATTTTAATTTATATCATATTATTGTTTAGCTACTACTTTTCTTGTAATATGTTTCAATTTTTTAATTAATTTCATTGTACCAGTTACATCCAAGTTCGATTGTATTAGCTAAGAAAGTTATTCAACCTGTTTCCAAATGAATTTTATTTTCGAAGTTATTTCTTGATACAGAATATTCTAGCGATCTAAAGGAGTAATCATCTAACGGGGCAAAGTCTAATTAATTGGGTAGATGCTATAAAATCTTCCAGTCGAGGCAGTGTGATTTTTTTACAAGTTTGATGGAACGTAATGAAAAAGGTCTTTGTGATTGTTCATATATTTCGTAGGTATTTTTTATAGAAAACAAAAGGAAACGACGAGTAAGTTGTACAGCGAGTACATTCAGTCCACATCTAGAAAGTAGTATGAACCAGAACAAACGACTTTTCCTTCGTCCAGTAAAAAAGCAATATGTCTGCCGCGATGAGTTATACTACATACTTCAGCGGCTTATGAAATAAAATGGAATTAGTCAAACTAACTCGTGAAACGGTCGAAAAACGTGTCTCTCAAGTAGACTATCCCGTCGTGTCGGACGTACATTACCGGCCAAAAGTATGGGATCAGAGTTCATGATTGATGGAACAGTAACTCATTATTCTGTTACGATATCTTAAAAGTTACGGAATCGGTACATGTACAAATCCTTTCTAATCAGTTTTAGCACATTTCCTTTATTAAACCTTGTAGAATAATATTTTTCGTTTCCACTATTTATCAAACCTGGTTTTAGCCAGCAGTGTATTTCAATCATATTTTCAAAAATCAATAACTCATAAACGCAATTTCGTCATTAACTGTTCTCACTCCATTTTTCAAAAAAATTTAGTTCATCGATCTATGTGCGTCTGATTGGTCCAAATACAAATTCACCATAATATAGAAAATCGAACCTAGAAAATAAAAAATATTCTTTTAAGTCCTATCTCCGAAACTTTGAAAGCTTTTATTCTCAATGATTGTATCTGCAAATACTAACAACAATTACAAATTGATGTTGATAATAACATAATATGTTGTTAAATATTGTAACAAATAGCTACTCAGTAGATGATATTATAGCCCGTTTGATTTTTTCACTACTTTCCTGTTTCTATAACATTAAACTTCGTAAGCTTTGAACTCAGTTTTCTCAGTTTAGAAACTAGTAGAGATAGAGCAATTAAGAACTAGAGCGGCGATATACAGTAGAATCCACCCTGTGAAAGTGTCCTACGCATTTATTAACACCCTATACAACAGACAAAACTCTAGCCCATCTCCTGTCCATATCTCATTGCCACAATAACAAAAAGAGCCCTGTCCCCATTTCTCAAACGGCTCCACCGTATACACGAACATAATAACCAGCAAAAGCCAAAGAATGGTATTGACGCGAATCCTCCTCTCTCTGCTATGCCCCAAAAAGGTACAACGAGCAGCAACGCCCCCGACGCGGAGGACGCCGGTCCAGATGGGGCTGGGGGATCTAGGAGCCCCAGCACGACTTCCGCCTCGGTCAGTCCGCGGCCCCAGCAGAGTCAGCCGTCCCTGGGTGGCGTCTCGACGCCACCGCCAACCCCCATAAGGGCGCCGCCGCCACCACCTAGCACCGTGGGGGGCCTTGGCCCACCCGCCGAGAGGTGAGCTTTTAGCTTCGTTTGTATTTACGTCTTTAGGAAATATCTTCCTTCCCCCGTCCCCTGCTTCCCCTGGGTCACCCCTTTCATCCACCCACCATCCTGGCTAACCTCTGGACGACCATCCAAAGTCACTCGCGATTCCACGGTGCAAGCACCGCTGAACACGTCGGCCGGATGCTTGATACGCGCCATTAAACCACTCCTCGCAGCTTCCTCCGGCTCTCCCGGCCCTCTTTCACCGTCTCCCCCCCCCTCCCGCGGCCCCCTGCTTGGGTTCCACTCGTCCCGGCAGTCGCTGCCACTCGTATAATCGCGATAATCGTCGCCTCGTTAAATCGCTATCGGGACCCCTACGCGCGCACGAGCGGAGATTCCGCGAGAGAACTGCTACGCTTCGAACACCTCCAAGATTTTAAGAACTGACCATACGCGTTTTACGACGTTTGGGAGTGGAGTACAGACTGGACGGGCGCGATTCGGGGGAGGATATTACTGGTATGGGAGTAAGGGTTCGGAGAGGTGACGGATGTTTATGCAAACTGTGCTGCATTTTATAACTGTTGGACTCATTTAACAAATTTTATAGCCGACAACGTGATCGTACGTCGTTTTAACAATAAACCTGCCGACAATTTTTAAATACATATTTGTAGCGAACCAGTCACATGACCGGTCTTTAAGAGGTTATGCTCAGTCAGGAGGCCGAAAAAAGAGTGTCATTTGCGAACTTTTTTCTGGGAAACTATAAGATCTTTTTCAAAAAATGGGTTTGTGTTTTAAAAATTGCAGTTTGTTGATTATAAGGTAATTTTTTTATTTAAAAATATTTATTAGTAAATAAATGGTGAGCTATCTCCCGGATGTCTCTTCACAAAAAGTGGTCTGCCGTGATCACTGTAACTTTGTAACGATTCATCTGAAATTAAAAATTCAGTAAGATTTATGTAATGGAAGAACCAATCTTGTCCTTGAACGTGGGGTTTTTCGAAATATTGATTAGGAACAAAATAGGGGACGTTTTCCTGAAAAAGTGCGATTTTCACCAAAAAATGACTCGTTTTTGGTCAATTAAAAAAAAACTATTAAACAAACAAAAGAATCCTTCGTTCAAGGATAAGTTTTTCTGATTTGTAATAAGGCGCAAAAGGTTTCATGTAAATCGACACAGTAGTTTTCCAGAAATATTGATCACCGATTTGAAAAATGTAGTTTCGAGAAAAACGCGTTTAAAGTTTCAAGTCAAGCTTACACTTATATAAAATGTTCATTTTTTAACGCCTGTGACACTGTCATTTTTAATTGGATTACCTTGAAACTTGCACAGAATATTCTCGAGATGTTGTACTTAAAGAAAATGTAGAGTGAAAAATCGATTTTTTTTAAATTTCTAACTGAGCATGACCCATTAAGTAGAAGTTATATCAAGCAACCACGAATGTACATCGAATACAATCGAAAGTACAATTATGTATGGCTCAGACAAGGCTCAGTAAAATTTTGAAAAGTGACCTCAAGATGACTTTGTCCATGTCAATTATCGGGCTTGTTTATTTTATGAATTTTGATTGGGAACCACGGATCAATTGAATCCAGGGACTTTTACCGAAACCTAAAATACCGCATTATAGCGATATTTTTGGATGTACGTTCGCCCTATGTAACCTTATATAAGCCCAACCCTTGTAGAAACCGAAAAAATACCGGTATTTATTTCGGTTTTCGGTAATATGATATGTCCCTGATTGAATCATCCCTCATATTCCCGAGAAATGGCGTCTTCAGACTATCATCTTTTCGTGGCTGTAGACAATCATTTACGAAATCGACGATTCCAAAATCGACAAAACATGTCTCATCTTGGGGTAAAAAGTAACAACGCTGGGGTAAAGTTGTACCGCAGGTAGATTGAACAGAATTGTGCACAATGAAAGACAAAAATTAGAACCAGCTCATACTTACAAAGAATCGACATAACATTATCATTTTCTATTTAATTGGCTCAAGAGAATATTATTTCTTAATCAATGGGTACTCATCATAACATAAGATGTACTTTTATAATTAGCAGAACATAACATTATCTCCTTATGAGATCAATTAATTATCATTATTAATAATTATCATAATTCATTGATTATTTGTTGTCACAACGCCGTCTCTTTTATTTATAAAGTTATAAGCCCTGTTACAACCTACCCCTGCCACTTTTAACCCCGGTCTCCCCTACACACAGTTCCATAACTAACAAATCCATTGTTTTTGTTAGTGAACAAGTTCAAGTTACCGAATAATATGTAAATATTGCAAATATCTAGATATTGCAAATCTTGAATAGAAGAATAAAAAACAGAGCCACGTAGAGAACTTTCAAAACCAAATAACTAAAAAACTTTTAAGTATCTGCCCCTACATGTACAAGGATAATCATTTGTAAAGAGGAAGAAGCCCACCACGCGTCCGAAAATTTTCCTTAAAATCAACTCCCCAATGTCTGAACCCTCTTGTTGTTAGGAGCGAAACTGTATCCGTTTTTTTCTCGACCCCAGTATCCAGATGGTCCCTCTATAATCCCACACAGTGCTCCTCCGGAATCGACATGGAGGGGGGAGGGGGTGAATGGTAAGAACAATGCCGAAAAGGTAGACACACGGAATATACTTGGCGGCGAGTGACTCGAGTCAAGATGGTGGAACAGCGGCGAAGAAAACGCGGTCGAGAAGAGCAGAAAGGGGGGTGGGGTGAGGGGTTGTGAGAGGCGAAACGGTACGAAGATACTCCTTCGCCGTCTCCGCAGTTGTAATTTATTTAAAACCGCTCGCCGTAAATATATCCTCATCATTTATTCAGGGGCTCGGCAGTTCCTCGGCTTGCGAGGGGGTGTACTACGCTTTTGCGTTCCTCCTTGCCTACCTACCAACCTAGGAGTCTCGCTCCGTGGCAGTCGATTCCGCGGAACCAGGGGCGGATCTGGGGGTTACTCCGCTCGGGAAGGGGCTCGTCTTTCTTTTTACCTCCCCCCCCCCCTCGGCCGAGTCTACCTTGTTTTATGGTAACGTTCTTAGCATGGGATTTAAATTACTCGGCGGAGAACGTAATCTTGAGTGGAATTGGTTTCCGGCTACGTATAAAGGTTTATGCGACTGGCGCGTGGCGACGACCGGTTTACACGTTTGTAGTCTTGAAACCACGATTTCCAGGGTTTCTTGCAACTGCCATGCTTTAGTGTTATTCGGGTCGTAGCTTGCAATAGACGGTATTTATGGGGGTTGAATATGAAGCAATGTGACTCGACGCGATTGTAAGTTGATTGTTAGTGTGTAATGATGGTTCTTGGATAGTTAAATTAGGTAGATTTAAAAGAGAGGAAGTAGATCTTGCAATGACAGTCGGTTATTTAAGAAGATATACGTTTAGGTGGTATTTATAGGGGTTGAATTGGAAGCAACGGAATTCGACGCGATTGATAGTTCACCTTTGGTGTGTAATGATGGTTGTTAGACAGATAGAAAAGTGGACATGTTGAAACTAGGTAGATTTAATAGAGAGGAAGTAAATTTTGCAATGATTGTCGGTTTATTACGAAGATATACATATGTATATATTGTATAAAATCAAAGTAGTAAGAGTGAATGTAAAAATGACGAAGTAGGTGTGCACTTTATTTGTAATGATAGTATTTGATATGAAAAATTCCTCCAACTTTATGTATATTATCACAGAATACAAGGCTTTTACCTATGTTATTATTATATACTATAACTTATTAACACTAGAAAGGCCGGAAGCTCAATTAACCTAAAAGAATCGTCAGATTCATTTTGATCCAAGTATATTTCTTTTGTTATCTGTAATATTCATATTTTTTTGTGTATTATTACAATATGATCTGTCATTATCTTATGCATTCTATGTTTCTAGAAATTCGAAAACAAAAATAACAACAGTACATAATAAAAAAGTTAACATTTTTTTTAAAGCCGAATATTTTAACCTTACGATTCTTCTAGTGTTAATACAGACATTTGTAGGCTAATTTCGATAGATTTATTATTTTCCAATTGGCATAGAATGTATTTCTCTCTTCATCGTATTTACTACCAATAAATAAAGAGTAAATATCCGAGTCGCGTATAGTTACTCGCAAAAGGATATTTTAAATATTTAATCATTGCTGCAGTCGGAAACACTAGTTGAAATTTGAATTAGTTTTAGATTATGGTGCAATGTTGACCATTGCTTTTTCTTCCATTTAGAGATCTTACGACGTTCTGCAATTTCAAGAAATTATACTATTTATAGCACTATGATACACCAATTCATTCCTAAATCATGGAAATTTGTTGGTGTATCTTTCTCATGTAATAGACTTCTATAATATGGTGTCTGGTATTGTTATGCATTTATTATATTGCGGCAAAATAATGTACAAATTAGTTTATTTGCGTTTGTCTATAAAAAATTGCCCACAGTCGCATAAACGCAACATTTTTTTATACACAAAGTACCGATCCAAAAATGTTTTGGATATCATTATTTCTATCTTACTATATAGTGTATTTATATTCTTTCTTGTACACTGTTATAAATAATAAGTAATTATATGTGTAAAAATCACCTTATTTCACTGCTTGCGACTTAATGGGTTGATACGACCTCAAACTTGCAAATTTCAACGCTGATGCACTCCAGAGGCGAGTCTGGAGAGAAGTTGTCGCGTCTGAAAACGAGGAGGCTGTGTGTGGATATCACGGTTAAACGCATGACGACGAAGAAATTAAATGTGTATACGTGTGGAAGGCAAGCGAGCGCATGTAAGCAGGGCGCACGCAAGGCTACGCGGCAAATTGCTGCTAATTATCGCGCTTACCGCAGTTTGGGCTTTCCTCTCTGCGCCTCTGTCGCCGCCTCCCGCCTCCTTTAACCCTTTACCACCACCCCCAACGTACCAATCTGTCGCGGTTTCCTCCCCCTTGGCTTCTCCACCGACGAAAATCTCCTTCCATTCCTGATCTCCGCGTCTTTTAGACGCTACCACTTCCGTTTCCGTTTCCTCGTCACGACCTAGATACCATCTCGTGACTGTGTTCCTCTGCAGTGTTCGTTCAGGATAATATAGATCATCTAGATATTTTGTTTGAGGCTCATTTTTATTTCAAACTTGAGCCAAATCTTGTTGATCTTACTTTGAGATATGAAGTTCTTTGTGCAGAGTGTTCGAAAAGATGCGGAATATATTTTTATAGAGTGTAATAAAGGCAAGAAGGTGAAAAATAATCACGCAGAGATGGATCTCGAAATATATAAATAATTAAAAGTAAAGCTTCATAATTTGAGTGTGGAATGTTATGTGTAGAATGTGAATATAATTTATCGTGTATAAGTTTTACATAACTTTAAAGAAGAATCTGACGATACGGATTAAATTTAATACAAATAAGTTTTATATGTATAACCTGAAGGAGGTAACCTTTTTAAGGATAGTGTTGTGATGCAGCAGCATTCATTTGATTTAGTTAGAATTCTTTAAAAAAAATTAGTGGCAGTATTATTTATTTCACGAAAAATGTATATTTACGTATTTTATATTATGTAAATCATTATAAATTAATTGCAACATAATTTGGTTCTTATCTTCTTAGAATTGACAATTTGCCGTTTTTTGTCAAGTGGACTTTTCACGATTATTTCGTGCCTATTGCGTTAAAAATGGTAAAATTTTATACGTGAAGTTTTATGAAAACTTTGTAAATAAACTGAGACCTTCTATTAAATATAAAAATCTCATATGTGTTGTTATAACTAGACTGCAGTAGTTTATGCATATTCAAAATTTTAAATACTAATATACACATAAAACCATACTATTGGACAGTTTCATTTTCTGTAGGTACTACAGGCTTCAGAATATGAAGAATAAAACATAAATAACATTAAACTTTATGAAAGCTCTTATTGTACTATGCTTAGCAAATTAGAAAATGCAATAAATCCATAAACATCCACAGTCTAATATACATAAATAAAATAATTGTAACATAAATAATAACACCCTGGCTCAACGAATGAAAGGAACCCAAAAGAGAAGATTCTTTTAAGACATATTTAACAATACCTCCATTATGAATTAAACGATTCAAACAATCTTCTCGAAACGATAAATTTTTAAGTAAACATGTGTTACACTAATTTTTAAAATTACGTAAAAATGAAATTCATCCGGTATTTATGTTCATAGAAGAAATCACCCCATTCGCAGTTGCACCATCGCTACCTTTACATCCCCTATAATCTTCTTAAATTCTCAATTATGTATGTATATTTTTAAAATACGTAGTAAGTATTATCCGTGTTTGCGCATCTTCAGATACAGACATTGCTATTTATTTCCCCTATTACGTTCGTATTTCCCTTAAATATCCCTTTTTCCATCATCCATCCCTACGAAATTATTTACTCGCCCCACCGCTTCTCGAAGATCCCTTAGCCCCACTTAGCTTCCGCCGGGTTTCGCTTTTTCTCCGAACTGCTCTATCCACTTGTACATGTTTATCCGCCCATCGTGTTTCTCTGTTTACCTCCTTCGTCCGCTCCCACTCCGTCAGACGGATCGGAGAACTCTCTGTCTCTCTCCGTCTCGAAGTCTCGGCTGCATCCAGAGTCGTCGACTCACTCGCGCCCCGTCCGCAGCTTCATCCCCCCGGCTCGTTACATTAATTAAACAATATTTGCGATTAATATTTGAGATAATCATCAGCGCCTCGAAGCAGCCACTGCTGGCTGGCGGCGGACGCGGAATATCGCGCGTGCTAATCGGGTTAGCGCTTTCGTGAGCCCTTCTGCTTCTCTTCGAACCCCCCCCCCCCCTTACGCGGCATTCCCTTCACGACGAACTGCGAGGGATCTGAAATTGTAGCATCTTCCTCGACACGTCAAATAGATTCCAACTGGATCGTTAAAGACGAGCAAAGTTTGATGAGAGACTAGAGGAAGATATCTACATGGCTGGAAGTGTAGAAATAGTAATAAAATCTGGTAGTTCAGAAATTTCGAGGAAAATAGAGTCACAGGGCGGGAAGTTCGAACAAGAAATGTATACAGGGTGTCCCACCTAATGGGAACTTCTTTAATATCTCACTTTTTTTTGAAGATAGAAGAAGATGTGAGGGGAAAATTATATTTGCTTGGAAGGAATGAATATTACAATAAGATCAAAATTTGTCTTAATGTCATTTTTCGAAATATCAGGGTCATCGATGTTTTCCTAAACGAAACAAATATTTTTTGCATCATGACGTAATAGTTGAATTAAAGACTAACCTATTGACCTATAGTAGTGAGACCGTCATGTGACCTTGAGAACGAAAAATCTACAAATTTATGGGAATTGATTTAAATAATAAAATAGCTAGGGTAGAGGGATTAGTGCAAAAATTAATTAACGTTGATGGACATCACTGTGAGAATTCGTTAAAATAAATTTTCCGCAAATCAAAAGCAAGTGAGATACTTGAGGCGCTCATGTTAGGTGAGACACCCTGTAGATGAATTTTTATCCAGAACTGGTTAAGAACAGTTAACACAACGTTTATTTACGTGTTACCTGATCAAGATCAAATAAATACGCATCGTGGTTAAATAAATATTTTTAGTTTCACTCGACTTGATAATGTAAACTCTCCGTTGGTTAACCCTCATCCGTCCTTTGTGTCAAGTCGACACATTTTTCTCCTAAGAAATGACGTTATTCCGTAATGTGTAGGTAACTTTAGCTGAGGCTCCGTGACTTTTATTTTTTAAAATTCGCAAATTTATTGGATTCAATCAACTTGAAACCGAAGGACAAATTAAGTTGGGAGAATAAGGGACGGGTGAGGGTTAAAAGGTTTGCGATCAGAAACGCGTTTAACATTATTTCCATTGGTCTTCCAGTGCTCCAGGTTTGGCAGCGGGTTTCAGGCCAGTCGAGCCGCCCACGTCACTCTTCTTTTCGCCACACTTGGCGGCACAGTTCTCCCCGCCGTTGTTCAGCAGCAAGATGGTCAGCAGCGCGCCGGCATCTTTGACATCGACGACCCCGTCCCTATGGACTTCCAGCGAACATCGGACCAGCACACTTCAGGACATGTTGTCCTGGTCACCAGCTGGCTGGCCTGTTTGTGGGTGCTGCAAGCCCGGCACAGGTGATCTGCACAGGAACAGCAGCCTAGCAGAGCTGAGAAGAAAGGCTCAGGAACATTCGACTGCCTCCGCGCTCCTTGGCGGACTAGCCGGATTCCCCGGTGGATTACCGTTGCCCCTGCCTCTGCCATTGTTGCCACCGTTGCTGGGAATCTCCAGAAGGCCAGAGCACCATCACCACCATTTACCAAGTATAGTGCATCAGATACAACCGACCACGAAAGAGGACCCCTAGAAGCTATCCTCTGAACAGCAGCACCCTGGCTGATTGAACGTTTGGCCTCGAGACATCCTCCTTGACTCTGGGCACGTATAAGTATCAGGACACTGGTTTCTTGGGTTTCCTTTTTGGTTAAGAATGACAGTATTTTGGATACGGTTAGGTGGTTCTGAATTGGCTGGTGAATTAAAAGAGTGTATCGGTTTAGCTACCGACGAGTATTTAATAGAGAATTTGTTGATAAATCTTATACAGTCTGCACAAGAGATTACAGTCGTGATTTAATAGGGCACCTCGGATAATCTAATGGACCTATTTCTTTTTTACTTTTTATTCTTTTTATTGGGGAAAGTTAGTGAGCTCCTATGTTGAAAATTTGTAAGTGGAAATGTATATATTAACACGTTCACTGTGGTGGTGATCGTATAATTTTTGATAGATTATGTTCCTTGATATATGAATGTCTTCTGTCTGTTAGGTTATGTTTACAGACACTGATTAGTAGTAGTTGTATTGGAAAATTTACAGGAATAATGGAGATATCTTCAAAGTAATATGTATCACCTGAGAGTAAACAGAACATGGGACAGTTGTTCACGTTATTTATTCACATATTTTCTGAGTAATAATTGAGTGGAGAATTCTTATGTTTTTCTCAACTCTGTGTACTTTCAGCATTATTCTACGATAATTTTTTTGTAATTTTAATGTAAAATTTTCAATTTTTTAAATCGTTGTATAGTGTCAGTCGAAAGTGTGGAACTACATTTCACAATTAATAAGAAAATGAGACATTAATTCACAAAGATTTCGTAGAGTGGTCGGTTTTATTTAGTATATTAGCTTCTTTAAATTTTTATGGAATATTTTCATCCGTACAATTGTGAGAAGAGACCTCACACTTTTGGCTGATTGTGTACTTATTAGTTATCACAGTGAACGTGTTCAGTGCTTCAAGAGTTTCATATATTTTTGGGGCATGCATGCTTATGATAACGACAGAACTTTTGAGAAATCGTTAGCTTGCAAAGTTTAGTTCGAATGTTTTGTGAATTAGTTTTTGTTTCAACTATTTTGTGCAAATTATACGTTTTCTTTCAACGTTGTTTCGACAATTCGGATATTTTCTTTAAACTTGTGAACACTTAATACGATGAAATTGATTTTAAATGTTATTTGAGTTATGTTTGAATATTTATCATTTTAGCTCATCTTCTATTGGAGTTGAAAAAAGTTACAGGTAATTATGTTTATTGATTGACAGACATTATGAAAAATGTTAAGGTATAATTTTTAAGTGTTTATCACTGCTTACAAAATAGTAGGATTTTTATAAATATTTCTAACCGTATTGAAAAATACTGCAATTTTTCAATATTTTTCATTTAAACGTTTATTTATCAGCACCCTAACCAGTCACAAGATTTTCTTCTACTTTCATTTCATAAATAGTACACGTCTATTCGCTTTCAAGCAAAGCAGTAGTCTATTAGGAAAGCCAACATTTTAACAAAACTTTAAGAAATAAGAAGGTACCTATATGTATTGAGATTTCTTAATGTCAACTTAATCAAAACAGAATACAATCAAAATCTATTCACAGCGTTTCTTCGAATTCATTCATCGAAATACATATACAAGTGCAAGAATTTCAATAACAGTTAGTGTATATGCATTCAAAAATAGCGACACTAAAAGTTTAATATCTATTTTATTAAACTTTTACCTTTGGCATAACAAGGAAAACGCATTACAATGATAACAATCTTCTTCTGTTTCTATAATAAAAATTTGAAAAGATATCAAAAAACTTTTGTCATCAAGAAATTGTTTAAGTATCAGTCTAAGAACCATAGAAACGGCGATCATATCATTGCATTATCTCTCGATTACAATATTTTATTTTTTCCATCTGAAAGTATTTTTAATTTAGATTTATATAACGGTAACAAAACCAGACGATGTCTTGTCAACATTCTGTACATAATTTACAAGACTCAGCAATTCGTTATAAAGCCACAATGTATACGAAAGAACAATCTTCGCCAGCACACTACGACTAATTTCGTTACCTTTCGATCAAACCGGAGACAAATCGTCGATCGCGAAGGACCAATACGTGCCTGATGTGTGTGCTCTATACTTAATTGTCCCGACAGGCAAAGTCGAAGTTCATGTTTATGAAACGTCATTCGAATATCCGTCGAAAATACTAATTTTCAACTGTGAGACGAAGAACAATTAGGATCACGTATGAATAATTAATAATCGTTCCTCCTTTAATCGTTAACTACAAGCTACTGGTTTCACAAGTGAATTTAAATATTTTGTTCACTATCAGCACCTGGTGGAGAATTTTTGAAGTCCTAAAAGTACCTTCAATTGACAGTAAGTGACAGAAAGTATTTCCAAAGTCGATAACCAGAAATAGCATTCAGTTTGTTGTTGCAAGTGTTGAGAAGCAGTCGTTGCCGGATTATTCATCTTTGAGACAAGGCGTCTGTCGTTAAAGGTTAATTGAAGTGGACATCCGTATTATTATGGAAGTATAAGTGAAATGGTAATTAAGAAAAGCAACGTTTACACGAAATTTGCAGTAATTAAATGCAAAAAGAACGTAACAACTAATTCAAGCAAATCCATTTTCGAATGAGTCATTAGTAATGCCTCATTACTTAAATTGGACAAAGAGTTTGTGGTATTTTAATGAGTTCTATTTAATGAGTTGTAACAATATACTATTTAATAATTTTGTTAAAAATGAAGTCAAAGGTAGTATCAATTGATAACAGAATTTTTTTTAATTTGATATCGATAAACTTGAAATTGTCTCCATATACAAGTTGCTGAGATTCTGAGTATGCGTATGTACCTCAAAAATACTGGATTCAGTCGTAATTAACTTTCATACCTTTTATTTTAAATTAATTGTTCTCGCAGAGAAGTTGTTATTATCCATTTGTTTGATATTTTAGTGTTATGTAGAAACATCTTGTAATTAATCTATTAGTTGAATTATTCTAGAAAACATTTTTTCCTATAGCAGGTAAGTTTTTTTACGACTGAACTCAGTAAATTCATTGAATTAAAATGAAAATGATAGAATGGTTTATTTCAATGAGACAACGAAGTGTGTTCATGTCAATTTGGAAACGACAAAATTTAACGGGTTAAGTTCCAGTGTGATCATCGGGTGAAAAGGATAATTTGTATTGTAATAGAATAATTTACATTATCACCCCCTAAATCGAGTCTACGACAATTTTCTTGAATTATATGATTACTCTATCATATTATTCAAATAATACGGATATCCGTATTATCCAAGTAACACGGATGTCCGCTTCAATCGCGCGACCCGGGCACGCGCCAGCTGGAATAATATTTCTATAAGTGAAAATTGATTGTTCAACTGAATGAATATCGGCATAAAACCGCATCGTTTCGTGGATAATCGATATATGTATACATGCAACCCGAAAATAAGTGTCTGGAACTTGGAGAATTCTTGTAACAAAAATACGTTTTATAATAATATCGAGAAAATTACAAAGATTTAAAATATTTGTTTACTTATGAAAATTACAAAGATTACACATTAATATTTACTTTAATTTCAGAATATTTTATTTTACTATACGCGAGAAATTAATTCAATGTGTAGAATTCATTGTTTGGGTTGTGTTGAGATGGATTAACATTTATTTAGATTTTTTATTAAATATCATCTCATAATGACTTATATAAAAAGTATTAATAATTTTCTGCCACGTGTTAATTCATTTAATTACTTTGTGAATGTATAAGCTCCCATTTCTGCTGTGCATAAAATACAAACATGGCTGATTATTAACAAAAGAAGATAAACTACAATGACAAATAAAAGTGTAAATAAACTCCAAATTTATTGCTTAAATATTTTTAATTGCACGTAGGTGTATTTAACTATGCAAATTTATTTCTGGGAATAGAAACATTTAGTCGTGTTCTTCTTTCTCATCATTTCTTTTAACAAAATTTTGTGAAATGTTGTGATAAGTATATTACTGAAAATAATTAATAGATAAGGAATTTTTTATGAAAATATAATACATTAAACATACTTAATACTTTTGCATACAAGCAAATTTATTTAACAATTTTGGAATCTGCTAGTTTCAGTCATTGTAAATTATACAGTATAATTAAAAAAATGATTAACGATTATGAATATTTATATATTGCTCTTAAATTGAATCCCATATGTTTCGCTCCTTTCTTGTACCACTTATTTTCTCAATAATAAATCATTGTCAAAGAAAGAATACATTAAAAAATTGGTTAAATTAAATTATATACAAGATAAACTTACACAAGGAACTTGAATACTGCAAAAGAAACTTGATTACAAATTTATGTACATATTGATATATTTACTACAAGTTACTCATGATACAGGTCAAAGTATCCCGATTCATTACAAAGGTACTAAGGAATCTCCAGTTTTCCAGACCGAATCGAAAAATGAAAAATTTTGTGTATCTTTTAAGATCCCATTACTCGACGTAAGAAGATCACAAACTAATAAATGATTAACGACAAGTCGACGGCTAGTCGTGCATGCCTTACGAAACAATTATCGACGATATAACGAACGAAATTTCACGAAAGTCAAGGGGATTACCGTTGTACGAGTATTATTAACCGTAGAGTTCGAATCGAGCGTGTAGAGTATTATAACAGCCGGAGAACAATGGTACGAAAAGCTCACCAGAATGATTGCATGGATTCGCTAAAGCGAAGCCACTTTAATATCCCTTCAATTATGCTCCTAACAATCGTTCCGTTTACGTTGCAATACGATTACCGTTGTTCTTCTGTATTACGGAAAGTGAAACACAATGACAGAGAACACATAGATAACTAGTAGAAGACCTGTATATTACATCCCGATGAATTGTCACTGCTAATCAAGGATAATCTAATAACAGTATGTTACAGACTAGCGACTATTATGTAGCCTGAACTGTGGGTAGTGAATTATTGAATAA